GTTCTGGACGGCTGCTGGCGGCGGGAAATGCATATGGGTAAAACCCGGGTTGCAATCCCGAGTAGGGATTCATCCCTTGACCCGGCGAATGAAATTCGGGTCTGTGATCTGAAGGTGACATTCCGGACCCATTTGGTTGGGGTCCGATATTTGCATCTTCTGTGAACGGGGCTTGTTGTCCCATTTGCTGATTTGACCCGACAGCCCATTGGCCTTGAACTGGAATCCATTGCATCGTTGGCCATTGGACATAGCCTGGAGTTTGCATTGAAGCCGAAGGATGCACCGGAGCCGGAGGATGCACTGGAGCCGGAGGATGCTGAACAGAGTCACCTTCATTGAGCGTCAGATCAACTTGGTCTGAAGTCTGATCCTGAGGTAGGTTGTTTGATGATTCCTCCCCTGTAGGTGGAATTGATTCTTGATTTTCACTGGTGGTTGGCCCTCTGTTCTGATTTTTTGGCATGATGTATGTAATGTGCAGGTAATCCGAATCCCTACTCGGAGCGCTAATTCGTTTTGCCGGATGAAATTTGCAATAACGAAATTAGAGAGCTATCGAGGGCAACTCGGAAGAATTTTGCGGAAGCTAGTTCAGAACCGAATGCTCTGATACCATGACAGAAAATGTAAAAGGAAGAGATTGGAGAATTTTGTATATGTTGTAATAATCATCTGTACATGTACATGCCACTATTTATAGTGCAAAAGGAAATCAAAGAAAGAATAAAATATAATACATTCTGATACATTTTCCTATTTTATCTTAATTGACAGAATCAATCATTTCTCAATTCCGTGATTAGAATCGTAATCACAGACCGCATCATATCTTTCTCCAACAAAACAGCTAGTGAATCAACGAGCACATCGTCCCTTCAACTTTGCCCAGCCGACTTTGATTTCTTGTCCCCGAGCGATCGCGTACTTCTCGTCTTGCCGGGTCACTATGCGGAAAGAAAGAACCATGTAGAACTTGATAAAAATTGCCCAATCAGTCGTAAATCCATTGTACAATATCAATTCCATCTTAAATTATTCGATTATCTCAATTTAATTCTAAACATTTGAGCAAAATTTTAATATAGTCCTTCCGCTCAATTTTCGCCAGGAACAACTGCATCAGAAAGGTTTAGAACTAAAATAGCAAAATTGAAAAATTCTGGATTGAATTAATATTTGCACAATAGATTTACGGCTAATTCAACAAATTCCAAGTAAATATTCACGTGAAAAGTCTTGGACCAAGCAATTCATTTTAGTTGAGATGTTTTCCGCAAAAAGTAGATCATTTTCTCCAAATTACCTTTAGGAGCACAAACATCTGTCCTCTGGTATTTATCAGGTAAACATGCAACGAGGGGTCGAGTACCCAAAGAACCCTGAACGCTCGGTTGATATATATCGAAAGATCCAAATATGTTTCTATGACTTTATAATTCTATATGTAATTAATTTTGAGGTTGCCTATCACTTCTTCCAATGAAAAGATAATAGAACGGAGGACCAAATCTCCAACAAGTTTTTTGGGATAAGACCAGCACGACTATTGTAACTTTCGTACGGCGCTCACTTAAGTTCCATAACTTCTTTTTTTCGTTTATTTAAGTGCCACAAATTAAAAAAATCGATCCTTTAAATGTCATGGGTGATTTGTCTAGCCAGAAAATCCAATGTTAACACCGGTCTTCCCACATGGTACTGCCGACGCTGATGTGAACGATTTTCGTAATTTATTTCGCTCCTTTAAGAGTCAAAATTTTGAGAAATCGATCACTTAAGTGCCACAAAATTGAAAAATTGATCACTCAAGTGCCATTGACAATTTGTTCTGTCGAAAAATCCACCACTAGCCTCGCCTAGATCTGGCGAGGGCCTTCGCACCCTCGCCCGCGGCCGGCGTGAAGGCCCTTGCCTACAGGGGGAGAGGCGGCCTCACCAGCAGCAGGTGAGGCCACAAAGGCTCTGTCGACCGAGGGCGAGCCTATGCAGCGGGTGCAAAGAAAAAAAAGGAAAATAAAAGATTCATTTTAAATACAAAAAAAAAATCCATGTATGACGATTTGTCAGAAGTGGCACTCCGATGTGGCATTTAAGTGAGAGGAAAAAAAAGTTACAACACTCGTGTGAGCGCTATACTAAAGTTATAGCATTCCTACTGTACTTATCCCAAGCTTTTTTGTGGGGTCCTCCTATCAAACGGTGGACACAAAGCGCACGGAAATCGGACGAACGATGAATGGAGTGGATCAATTTCCTGGTTTCATGATCAATGGCATTGGGCCATTTAGGGCGCTAACAAGAAACAGAATAGTCTAGGCCCAGGAAGATATTTTTTTTAAGCAGTAGGTGTGCAGCGATGTTGCAGGACATATTCTCCCAACTAGTTAGTCTTGAACGTGTTCTGAGAACGAGGGGTCGATTCGCTTTGTGCATGCTTCAGGGAGCATCAGGTTTCGATGGAACAATTCTCGAATCCAACACGGATTTCATCGATTGATCCCGCTCAATCATTGCTTATGCCAACAAAAACAAATTTCGGCCATAACTCGATTCGATAGGTTGAAGCTTGAAGTTGCTGATTGATTACCTAGCTGTTGATTTACAAGATCAGTTGTCGACAATGCTTTGTTGGTTGCTTTAGGGCCTCAAAGCTAGTCTGAGAATTGACCTTTCCGAATGTCATTGAAAGTTGTTGAATTTACCCTTAATTCTTATACATGCTTGATAAAAGTCCTTACAAAATTATAGATGGACGATGGCGCGCATGGATCCCTCCAACCCGAAATTCATTAAGGATTAACATCGAAGTTGTTTTTTATAGCTTGCAAATCGAAACCCTAGCATGCTTGGCTGTCTAGAATTTTAAAAAATATTTTGGTGGATACGGAAATTTGGTCACATGCTCTCATATGACTAGGGCGATGCCCGTGGAAGCTGATATCAAATGTTTGGGCCGGATATTACAATAACATAAGTATCTGTTGAGTATGTCTTGAATTCTCTATGGGCTTGGGTCAACATTAGGGCTTGGAGGCAATATAGATATTATTTTTCTCAAGTTATTATATTAAGAAGTTGAGACAAAAAAAAGTGTTATGTTTTTTAGCCACCTTTTGTAATCCTTGAATTTCATAGTAGATTTTGTTTTCCCTCTCACTATGATTTTTTCCATAAGGATTTTCTTCTTCTTAATTTTAATTTCGTTATAGTATTTGCATGGCATCCATATGTGTAGTCCACGTCGAATCCATATGACCAAGATTGTGATTGACCCATCTCATGTGGGTCAACGAAAGAAATTCCCATAAGTGCTACATGAATCGGAAAATCTTGACAGAACTTACTATTAAAAAATTAGGATTAATATCACGAAAAACCCTAAACTGGTATATCTATGACAATTTTACCCCGAACTATTTTTTTGACCACAAAAAACCCCAAACTGGTACACCTGTGATAAATTTACCCCGAACTATTTTTTTGACCATAAAAAACCCCAAACTGGTACACTTGTGACAATTTTACCCCGAACTATTTCTTTGACCACCAAAAACCCCACACTGGTACACCTGTGACAATTTTACCCCCGAACTAATTTTTTGACCACTAAAAACCCCAAACTGGTACATTTGTGACAAATTTACCCTATGTTAGTGTCCGTTAAATTATATTAATATCACAAAAAATCACAAATTGATAAATTTGTGACAAACAGAGGGGTAAAACCCAAAACCGGTACACATGTCAATTACCTCGTGTCATTAAACTTAGCAATTTGACAGTAAAATTTAACAGAAACTAACGGAGGGTAAATTTGTCACAGGTGTACCAGTTTGGGATTTTTGGTGGTCAAAAAATTAGTTCAGGGGTAAAATTGTCACAGGTAAACAAGTGTTGGGGTTTTTTATGGTCAAAAAAATAGTTTGGGGTAAAATTGTCACAGGTGTACCAGTTTAGGGTTTTTTGTGGTCAAAAAATAGTTTTGGGTAAATTTGTCACAGGTGTACCAGTTTGGGGTTTTTCGTGGTATTAACCCTTAAAAATTATGTAAGAAATAGTGATTGGATGCCCAAACGAGTGGAACCTGTTTCTACAATTTAACTTGTCTGAACATTCGACTTATTGTTGCACATTTAGTGTTAGAATGTACTTGTGAATTGTATTAAAGAAATCCTACATCGGAGAATTGGTGTGGTGTATAGTAGTTAATATCCTAGTTAACCCATAACTTATTGGCTTAAGCTTTTGAGTGAAGATAAGTCCAACTAGATATATTAACAGACTCAGACTTAGACTCCGAGCCTAAGCTCCCTCATTGTGATCTCCCCAAGCAAAAGTTATCCAAGCGAAAGTTATTGGATTTCCGCTTTGCGTTCTCTAACAAATTGGTATCAGAGCCTTAAGGTTTTCTCGATCTTCTGGTTCAAGCTCTTTTATTGTTAGTAGAGAAACTATCGATTTTAAAGATGTTAAGACTAATCTTCTAAATAAGCAAAAACTAGATAAGGCCCGAAATTGTTGGGGAGCGCAAAACAGAAGCCCGATACCTTTTGCCTAAGGAGATCACAAAGAGGGAGCCTAGGCCGAGCTTGTTAATATATTCAGTTGGACCCATCTTCACTCAAAAGTTTAAACCAATGAGTTATGGGCCAACTAGGATATATTAATTTCTCTACACCACATCAATTCTCCGATGTTGGATTTCTCTAACACAATTCACATGTACAACCTAACATTTAGTATATAGGCTTTGAGAAATCCTAAGTATATTGAGGCTTAGTTTGTTTCACGGAAATGAGTGATTTGAAAATATTTTCATAAAAATGATCGTCTATATCGCTTGAAATAATCAGACGATGAAAAATATTTTCATTATCCACAGTAATTGACGTCTAAAATATTTTTCGTTCATTCATTTTTATTGGTGATTCAATTGATATTTTTTGAAATTTTTTTTCAAATTATTTATTTTCCGCGAAATAAACTCGCATCAAGAGTGATATACAAAATTGAGACATTAAGCCAATAAACATTATTCAATATAGCAACGACACCTACAAAGAGGAAATGATAATTCCTTTTCTTTCACATGCCAAACAAGCTGCCCAAGTTCATCTCGTCCTTGGGCCATGAGTACCTACTTACACACACACACACACAACCTCAAATTGCTCTAAACCAATATGTCCTGCTTTTCCAGTTCACTCTTCAACTGGAGCAACTGCTTCTCCGGCAAAGTCATAGTCACCACCCTTCCCTCGCTGCCGTCCTTGCTAGAACTTGGCGGCCCCGGAAGCACAAAAACCGCCCCTTCATCTCCAACACCTTCGATAGCATAACTTGCGAAAATCGGTTCGTTCCCGTTCAACCGCAACCCGTACACGCTGACCCCTTCCAAGTCCACGAAGCTCAGGTTGGCCCCGTACACGACATAATCGCCCACTCCGCCATCTCGTTCGACAGCTTCCTTGATGAGGCGGCTCTCGTCCTCCGCTCTGTCGATCAGTGCACTCGCGATCTCTCTGGGGTCGGCATCGGCGACCGAGAAATCCGCCTCCACTGTGCATATCTTTAGACTATTGCTCAAAATCCCATCCTCCCTCTTGCTTGGGTCATTCTTGATGAGGGTCACAGTGCTTGGCTCATTCCCTGCTCTGACTTTGGCTATTAGCTGCCAAAGGATGGCACAAAGAGACTCAAACAGTGGGAATTTCCCTCCATGACTCTGCCCACCCACTTTTGACATCCAATGTGCCAATTGGTCCGGACCAAGGTGGAATGTGAATTCCTCCATGCTGCAGTTGCTGTCAACCTCCCAGTGGTCTCCTACTGGGCCGACCCGTTTGACGGACACGGGTTCTCTCTCGGGCTTCGCCGGGCCCGCCAGCCTTCTGGGCCCGGGAAGCGTTCTCGGCCCTTTGGGCCCGTCAGGAAGGAGGCCCGATAAGGTGCGGCCCCACATGTTGAAGCTATCGGAGGCCGAAAACGGGTCGCCGAGTACGTGGGCCCAGCTAAGGCCCACTGACATGCCTCCGCACTTGAACTGGGTCACCTGGGCTTTGTGATTTAGAAGCACATGTGAAGAACAACGCACGTGTGGCTTACGGAGAAAAGATGACATGGCGAATATCAATGAGGAAATAATGAATGAATGCCTTTTTGGCATATAAATCAGATTTTATAATAATTGGAATTATATTTTTTAATGCTTTTATAAATTTGTATGAAGTAATGGGTAGAAAAGGTTAATGATATATTTTGCAATATAAGTCGATATAATTATCTTAATATTTCCAATCGTAATTAGTTACGGTTTTGAATACTGACAGTGTATTCATCTTAAGTTACAACTGAAATAAGAAATAGAAAATTACTATGTATATTCGTAAAACTGCAACGAAGTTTTAACTTAGGATGATAAGAATATGATAATAAAAGAAATTAGAATTTATTTAAATAACAAGAAAAATTATCTAACGGTAGTTTGGGCGTTTGTTATTATCCCTAACTTATTATTCACCATGAATTTCTATTAAACTAGGCAAATACATAGTCTTGAAATAACATTTTAATCTTGTAGACCAAACTGAAGAATAATCATTCCAATATTATTCATGTTATGTTATATTCCTCCCTTGTTTCATTTCGTGAATCAAGGGCTACGCTGTTCGCTTATCAAGACTTATACTTAATCTCTTAGAAACCTTACATTTGATCCAACCACAAGATATTATTCAAGAAATGGAAGTCTAGAGAAAAAAGACTCTAAACTGACATGATATGTAGGTTAAATATTTTTTTTTTGTCGAAAATATGTAGGTTAAATGTGATTAGCAGTAATCTGAATATTTCGCTCTACAAGCACAATTTACATGAAAGAAGAGAAAATACTTTCTGATTTGAAATAGGGGTGACCAACCGGGCTAGTTCAGTCCAAAAACCGAATTAAAGAGACCTTACCTAATCGGTTCCGGTCCTTTTCACATAAGAACCGAGTAGGTTCCTAGTTTTATACTGTGAACTGACGGTTTTGAATTGGCTTTCAATTTTTTTGTTTATTTACTTTGTTTAAAATAAGAGATAGATACGTTGGAAAAACATTTCAAACCTAGAAAGATTAGGAAATTCATCAATACCTTAACCACTAGAACATAAACCATTCACATGATATGTTTTACTACAATATCAGTTATATTACTTGAAGTTAAACTCGGTTGTTTCCTTGGTTTGACTAAGGTTTCAAGTTCTTGATTTCGAATCTGGAAATTTCGAAATCGCACTGCCCTAATTTATAAAAAAAAAAAAAACAATTGAGGGGAGAAAAGTTTATTGCACACATTGGCGACTAATTTATACCCTATGTTTTTTTTAACAGTTTCTGATATTAATTCACCCAACGGTTCCCACACTAAATGCTCTTACATCGTTGCATCATGGGTTGGTGTTGGCGCAGTCTCCTGCATTTATGAGGTACTGCTTATCTGATGTGATGCTCTCTACTGTACGTGACAGTATATAGATGAAACATATTTACTTTTGATTTCTATGCTTAGATATTAAGTACATTAGTTAGAGCATGTGCCCTTCCTAGAGGACCCAAAGCAAAAAAAAAATAAAAAAAACATAAACCTCAGATGTGCTATGTCGCCGCCACGTGGACCCGTATGGTATTTTTCCTGAACCTTTCCTGAGATGTTTTTATTTTGAAAATTAATTAATTTTATTTAAAGAGAAATGACAAAGTGATTCTTGCTCACAACTAGAATTTAGGGTTTTTAGTTCGATTGGATTCGACTATTTTTAGTTAATTTGAACGGAAAATGCTCAATAAAGCTTTAAAGTTTTTATCTTCCCTATTGCTTTTTTTTTTTGTTTTGTTTTTCCCACCAGAGCTTTTAATGCTTTGAAGTCAGAGCAATGATCGCCATTGTATTTCAATGTCATAATAAAAATATCCAATTAATGTCAAATGTTTTAGATGTATTTATTGAATATAGCTGTACAAGGAATACTTGAAAGTTGGTGTAGATTATTGAATGCATATTTTCTTATTGATACAATAGATATGTACAAAATGATTTTGCAATTTGTGAATCAATCAAAACTTAATATTGACATTATCGTGTATATAATCGTTTCATAGTTTTTCGAAACTTAAATAACATTTACTTTTTCTTCAAATTCTAAAGGAAAATTCGTAAGTATAAGTTAGAAGTAGCATAGAATCTTTATCCAAACAGGCTCTAAAACTTGAGACTCCCGCATTTTCCCTTTTCCAAATCCGAAATATTCAAAACTTTTACAATATTTATATATCGACACACACACATAGACACACATTGGCGACTCTAAAAGTAGGAGAATATGGATATATTAATTATCTATTAGGAACTAGGAACTAGATAATTATGTAAGTCCACTATATAATTATCAAATTATAAGATATGTCTCGCGTCTGCAATAGACCTGAAAAGGGTCCACAACATAAATGAAAGCCAGTCTTCTGTAACTAATTTGCAAAGCAGCAAAAAGAGGAAACCTGCTCGGGGGGAGCTCATATAGCGGGCAAAGTTTGTAGTTTAACACGAAGTCGCAAGAGAAACTCGAACGCCACGCAACTCAACTGACTCAAAACTGACATGTCTCTCACCATCAATTGAAAGCACGAATTGCGAAACAAGAGCGTGCAGAATCGTTGAATACACTCAGTTTACAAACACAATCTTTATGAGTCCGCTTAGCACTACTAAAAGTTCGAGAGAGATGGGTACGTGCCTGGATGAGAACGATAGGGGAGAAGAACAGCTCGGGGCCAACGACCTGGTGCGAGACGAGCAGCCCCAGGAGGGAGCCGTGGCCGTCGGCCTCGATCCACTCGTCGACTGTGCGGTCGCACTTGGCCTCGATGAAGCGGACCCCGCAGTCGTTGCACTTGAGGTAGGGGCGGCCGGAGTCGGAGCGCCGGAAGCGGCCGCACGTGGTGTAGTAGTCGTTGCACCAGGTGAACATAGACTCCTTGATCCTCGGGATGGTGAGGCCCTCCACGGCCGTGCCAGCGAAGAAGTAGACCCCCCTCAGGTAGTGCAACTTCATGGCCAGGTCCGCGGCCGCCGGCTCGTGAACCACGTCCACCCCCGTCATCCGGCCCGGCCCGACGGAGGAGAGCTTCAGGCCGTACACAAGCTTCTCCTCTTCTTGGACCGCCATGGTGTTATGATGTGCGTGCGCGGGTGTTGAGAGAATGAGAGAGAGAGAGGCCTTTTGGGGTAGGACTTATGGAGAAAATATTAGGTGGTCCGGGACCTCCTCGTCAGTGTGGTCCCGGACCACTCATAAACCGCCACGTGGTCCACGTGGCGCTCGTGGGGCCAGCTCGCTAGGATGGAAATTTTGCGCAAAAAAATAATATAGAGTCTCTCTCGGTAGCCCTATACGGCTACACTCTAGCCCCTCTCTCTCTCTCTCCTCTGCACGCATTTATTTCTCCTCTCTTTTTCTTCCTTGTTCTTGCCTTGAAGAAGAAAACCCACCATACTTTTCCTCTCTCGCTTTCAAATTATTCTGAATCTATGCGATTTCGCTTTCAAATTTCGCTCGGTGCTCAACCAGAAACGCTGACGAGGAGAGAGAAGAAATAAATGCATTCAACCAGAAACGCCGAGCGAAATTTGAGAGCGAAATCGCATAAATTCAAAATAATTTGAAAGCGAGAGAGGAGAGGAAAAGTGCGGTGGGTTTTCTTCTTCCAGGAAAGAACGAAGAAGAAGAAGAGAGAGAAGAAATAAATGTGTTCAGAGGAGAGAGAGAGAGAGGGGCTAGTGTGCAACCGTACAGGGCTAACGAGAGAGACTGAATATTATTTTTTGTGCAAAATTCCATCCGGGCGAGCCGGCCCCACAAGCGCCACGTGATTCATGTGGCGCTTCATGAGTGGTCTAGGACCACATTGACGAGAAAGTCCCGGACCACCTAATATTTTCTCAAAAGTTATTGGGTCACGGCTTGCCATATAAGAAGAAGCGAGTGATGAAGTGTAGGGAGGGAAGTGATCTGTGTAGATAAAAGAAAGAAAGCAAACCTTTATGACCGTTGGTTAATTAACTAGAGTTTTACGTGGGACTAGACTTATCAAAAAGGTGGATCGGATCGAGTTTGCATCAAGTCATAAACGATCCGACTCAAATTGACCAATTAACCCGTTTATAATCAATTTATTCTTAATACAAATAGCTCAACCAATACCCAACCCCGAAACATATTGCTAAACTACTTCCATGTTTAATCTAAGACCCATTAAGTTGTTAGGCAATCCATTTATAATCCACTTAAGTTTGTTTTTAAAACTTAAGGCAGCCCATTTATGACCCATACCATTACATTTGAATTAAAATACGGAGTCTAGACCCATTTTGCCACCCTCTACATGGGACTCACATCATGATTAATCCTATTGGTGTGGAATCGAGCTCAAAGGTGAGAAAATTTGTCACGTAATGTCTATATGATGAGGCCAACATGGAACTGTACACCTTCAATTTTCACTAACCTGGCTCATGTGAAATGGACAAGACCTGAGAACAATATGGAGCATATGAGACTCACATCATGATTTATCCTGTTCTTGTGGAATCGAACTCAGAGGCGAACTATATGATGAGATCAACATTGAACCATAGACCTTCGATTCTGAGTGACATGGCTCATCTGGGATCATTATAGAAAAAATCATGGATAAGAATGGACCAGACATGAGAACAATATAGAGTTTACGGGACTCACATATTGATTAATCCTGTTAGTGTAGAATCGAGCTCACCTGGGATAGAATTCGCCACGTGACATCTATACGATGAGGCAAACATAGAACCGGAGACCTTCGATTGTGATTGACCCGGCTGATGCGGACCCGGGTTAACAACAAGAATTTTGCTTTAAATTTGGGACGCATCGAAAAAGCTGAAGTAAAACTTATTTCTAGAGTAAATTCTGACCACCAACCTCCGTACTTTTAAAGGTGTTTGAGATGACAACACAAGGAGAGTGGGACCAATGTTACATGGCTGGGGTGACCCCTAGTAAAATGGGGTTAATTCTAAAAAAAAGCATCAACTTTAGATCGAGGGACAATTCTGACTCTAACTTTTTTTTATTCCATAAAAAAGCACAAATTTTAGGTCGAGGGACAATTCTGGCCCGAACTTTTTTTTGTCTCGTAAAAAAGCACCAACTTTCATTTAAATCTCAAATTTAGCCCTCCATTGACTTTCTGTTTGAAGTTACCTTTGTTTGAGAAAAAAAGTTATGGTGGTGAGCCTGGCGAATCTCTTCCATGGCATCTGTCGACGGCCGATGGTCTACACCTTTAGATTACGACAAAACGACGGAGTTTGGCTAGAAAGATTCAATCTGGAGATATTTTTGACTTGCCGGTGAAGTGAAGGAGACGAACAGTTTCATCGTTATTCTTCAAGCTGTGATTCAGAGAATAAGACAATGAATAATGCTTTAAATCCATTCAGCAAATCACGTAGATTATATTGCTAATGTGGAATAGTCAAGTTGGAAAATCAATTGTTTTAAATCAATAAGGGCCAGATTTGGGATTTAAGTGACAGTTGGTGCTTTTTTACGAGACAAAAAAAAGTTCGGGCTAGAATTGTCCCTCGACCTAAAGTTGGTGCTTTTTTACGGGACAAAAAAAGTTCGGGCCATAATTGTCCCTCGACCTAAAGTTGATGCTTTTTTATGGAACAAAAAAAAGTTCAGGCCAAAATTGTCCCTTGACCTAAAGTTGGTGCTTTTTTTTGGAATTAACCCTAGTAAAATGATTGACATTTGTGGCTGGGCTTATAAAGTTGCTCTTTATTCGTTCACTTAGGCTAAAACAAACTCTCTTTTTCTGGTAACTAAAAAAATTATCCTTCAATTAGAAAATTGCTTCTATAAATATAGTTTAAATTGCCCCTTTCTCTCTTGATAAAATTACTCTCATTTCTCATTCAATACTACATTTGTGTTAAGTTTCCCATAATAAAAGATATTTTTATTTTAAGTAAAGCTATTTTTCAAAGTCAGGAAAACATTTTTCCCTCTTGTGGTCATGCATTGTTGAAGATATAATTTTGTTAATTGGACTTGCTAGAAAATTGTCCATTTGTTCTTTTGTCTAAATTTTAAGGCTGCGTATGGTCGTTTGAATTTTCAACCGGTATATAATAGAATATGATATCCACGAAAATTATGAATCACAATAATAAATATTTTCATAGTGGCATATTAGTATACATGAAACTGAAAATGTATAAACAGATATTGTAAGAATCTCTTACGATTCACTGCTAAAGAAATCACAAATACACAATAATCCATGATTATTCTACAATGTAAATCCTAAACAAAAAAAAAGCATCTCAAAGCCACAAGTTCGACTATAACAAGAAATGTAAGGAGCTACAGCAATATTGACGAGCTAGATCAGTCAAAGAACGTCAAATCTAGTAAGAGAGAGAAAACGTGATTATTTACCTTCACAATTTCGAAAAGTATAGTGCTTCGACTCTCTTGCCACTTTCGTGGATATTTTACGTGAACTAGAGAGCTTTGGAGAGCAAGGATTTTTACTCTCTCGCCATTTCCATGGAGTTTTGACATGAACAAAAAAACTACGGAAGAGTCGCAAAGCTTCAACATGAACTAGAGATGTGGAGGAGAGGGAGACGGAGAGGATAGGGTTTTTTTTAGAAATCTCATTACCTCTTATTCTTTAAGAATTAGAAAGATCCCTTTCAAATTTGAATTTGTTCATTTAAAATATGAGCTTATCTACTTCATTTTTATTTATTTTTATTATTTTCCCTCTCTTCTTTTAATTTCTTTTCTTTTTTATTGCTTTTTTCCCCTTCCATCATTACTTAATAAATTTTTTATTAAATAATAAATTATTCCAAAATACCAAAAATATGTAATAAATATAAATACTAGATATATATTATAGAATAGAAAGAAAATAAATTATATAAAAATAGGAATAAATAAAAATGAAAGTTATTGTTATCTTTTTGTTATTTTGAATTTTCTTTTTAAACTAGAATTCAAATATTATTTGTATTTTATTATTATTTTAATTTTTATTAATTTAATAAGTTTATTATTTTGAAAAATAGCTTATATACCATGGATATAAGAAATCATATCCACCTTTATTCCACCTCCCCATTGGGATATTTTTATCCAGGCTAAATCCCTTATATTTCTTATCCTGTCTTATGCCGAAATCAAACACAGGATATGATCAATTTTATTCTTTCTTGATTTTTATCCCGTCTACCAAACATAACCTAAATAGTTTTAATAGAAGTTCAACTCTAATCACAACTTCTTCGCATTCAAACCTAGTCTATTCATAAAAAAAGAAGAAGAGAACATTGAGGACAAGGTTCACGAGCAATATTCATAAATTTCTTCATGGTTGAACAATAAAAAAGTTCGGTATTGATCTTTCTCTATTTTATTTATCTTTTTCTAGTCTTTATGTTTAAACCAAAATTCCTTTTCCCTCATATTGTAATTTGACTCGGGAATTCTTTTGTGAATTTCCTTCGATTCCCAAGTCAAATTACATTGCTCAATGAACCGGTCAGATCCACTTATACAAATCCAATTCTTTTGGTCATGAAAAAGTTGAGAATGATCTTAACAGATGATTTCGAGATACTTGTCGAAAACGGCAAAAGTACACCACAAGTGCCATAACTTGTGTACGACGATCACTTTGGTGCCATAACTTTTTTTCGGATCACTTTGGTGCCAAGTCGAAGGAAAAGAGATCACTTTGGTGTCAATTTGGCCGGAAATCCGACGTGGCATTTTTTATTAATTTTTGACGCCGACGTGGCTCGCCGGAGGCTGAGTCAGCGTGTACAGTCAGCATTTTTAATTTTAAATATTTTTTTTCCTTTTTTTTTTCTTCTTTCCTTTTTCTTTTCTTTTCTTTTTTTTTCTTTTCTCCCATCGCCGGCAGGTTGTTGGTGGCCGACCGGCCACCGGCGAAGCCCGGGAAGGGCCGGGCGAGGGCGGCCTTGCCCATGGCCGGCGAGGGCGGCCGACCTCGCCGGCGATAGGCGAGGCCGGCCCTCGCCCAGGCGAGGCGCCCTCGCCGGCCCAGGCGAGGTCGCCCTCGCCCAATCCGGCGAGGGTTGCCCTCGGCCCAGCGAGGGCTTCCCTCGCCGGCGTCGGGAGGGTCGCCCACTCCGCCCAGC